CCAAATCGAAGGATACAGGCACACACTAAGACCAGGAAGATGGCTATAGCTGAGGTGGCCAGTGCAAAGCGGAGCCCCATCGGGCCTCTAGGAGGAGGGAGAGAAGCCTTGTGGTTGAAGTGGGACACCTCCCACCTCAACCCCTGACCCTCAGAGCAGGCAGTCACCTGTGGGAGTCCTCGATGCAGCTGGTGTAGACCCAGAAGAGCAGAAGCAGGAGACAGTAAAGGGCCAGTAGGCCCGAGGCCCCAGCCACAAAGTAGCAGAGGGATGGGGCCGAGGGTCGGGACAAGACCAGAGAGGAGCCATTCAGGACGGCCACACCATACAGAGGACAGCTGCCACTGAAGGAACCCTGTGGAAAGAAGCTGCTGAGTCCTAGATTTCAGGCTAGTACCTCTGAATGCAAGTTCATGGCAAGTGTTGGGGATAATCTAGACCAGGGCCACTCTAAGAGAGCTAATTGTGTATTACTGTCAGTTCCTGTTTCTGGGCCAGTAGATGAGTGGGTCTGGTGGGGAAATCAAATCTGCAGTGGCCAGAAAGATGAGGAAATAGGCAATGGTTATAAAATACAATGAGCTTCAGAAATACTTCACAAGTTCTGGTCTCCCTGGTACAGAAATTCTAGAGTAGAACCAAAACTTGTGTAACCTTCGGCCATCTCTGATGTTTTCTAATCTATAAAACAGGTGTAATAGTGCCTACTTACAGGGGTCAAACGAGTCTGTTTATTAACATGATTGCCTGGCTGAGGTAAACACTCGGCTAAACTTTTGGCTTCTGCTACATCACTGGTTTGCCATATGACACACTGCGTCGCAACAATTTGGTAGTTTGCTCATTTCTGCTACACTGCTTTCTTTAGGGCTTCCTGGTGGCTCAGGCGGTAAAGCCTCTGTCTGCAATGTATGGAGACCCGGGTTTGATCCCCGGGTCGGGAAGAGCCCCTGGAGAAGGAAATGGCAACCCACTCCAGTACTCTTGCCTGGGAAACCCCATGGACAGAGGAGCCTGGTAGGCTACAGTCCATGGGGTCGCAAAGAGCCGGACACGACTGAGCGACGTTACTTAATGCTCTCTTTGAGAGGCTCAGCACAACAGTGTCTTATTTAAAGGGACCTGGTCCAACTTGTTTTACAGCCAGGGTGAGGTTATGCAGCAGGAATCACCCGGCCGGGCTGTATCTGCTGTTAGGCACTCCCAAGGACTCGTTCCTTTTGCGAGGTAATAATTTCCAAGCACGACCTGGACAGATGTATCCACAGAGCGTAATTAGCGCTGATGCATCTCCGCCGGCGACCGGCCTCACCCGGGCGACTAGCTCCGAAGAGCTAAGCTGCGCGCCAGAACTCTGCCGGGCCGGACAGCAGCGGCCTCTCCGGTTCAGGGTCTGCCTGCTCCCCGCTTACCCACCCTGACGGCCGGCCCCGTCCCGCAACCGCACCTGGGTCCGGGTCAGCGCCGCGGCCGCCACGGCTCCGCATAAGAAGGCGGTAGCGAAGAACGCGAGTTCGACGCGCTGCAACCAGGCCAGCGCCATGACTTCCCCAACACCAGGAAGCGCCGCCGGAGCAGCCAACTGCCCAAGCCCCGCCTCATCCGGCGCTTGTTTCTCTGTCAATGGAGTCTTCAAAGAAGGTAAGTATCTTTGGAGTCCTGAGTTTGTGGAGTGGTCTCCCTGTCCCAGCTAGTCGTCTGAGCACTCTCAACTTCCCAGCTCCCTTCTCTTCTCTTCTTCCCTGACCACCTTCTCCCATTCTGCCCCCAAGCCTGTCCTCACCTGTCTTTCCTGTCTGGGCTATGGGAACAGCCTGAGGATTAGAAGGACACAGACTTTGGAGGCAGACAGTTCTGAGCTTCCATCCCCAACCTTGGTCCTCTTGTGTCTGTGAGCAATTTATATTACCTCTGAACCTGACTATTTGTAAAAGAAAGGGATTCATAATAGGCATTTCATTACATGTTTGGGGAGTAAGTAAAGTGATTTACAAAGTGCCTGACACAGGGCGTGGCCCACAGATACAAATAAATAACTAGTGGGATAAAAGTGTTACTATTGTCCTCTCTAACCTCTGACAGCTCCTCCCTGCTCTGCCCATCTGTGCACACAGAGTCACCCCTGTTTGGCCTGCTTAGGGTTCTCTGTATCAAATCAGACTTAGGATTTTTGAGAAGCTGTTTGAAAACATAAAGCATGAATGACTGACGGGTCATCACCATTGTTATTGCAGTGGATGGAAAGTCTCGGGACTCCTTGCGAGCCTTTACCCGAACATTCGTCGCTGTTCCTGCCAGCAATTCAGGGTGAGTGTCTGACTTACCACACTGGGTCCCAGTCCTAATGCATGGCTGCTACTGTGGCAAAGTGGTTTAACAATATTCACTACCTAAGTCTGTTGTGAAGGTAGGTAAATGAGGGCTGGGGAAGAATGTATAATTCCAGTCTGTTTGGTAGATAATCCCATATGTGGAATCCATGGGAAAGGGGGTAAATGATAAAGGAACCTTGTGGGTATTGAAAGATTCTGAGTGTCAAGTGAGAATAGAAATGATGTTGGGAGGATGAGGTTATCTTCTGTCTGTCCAGCTGTCTAAGGTGCTTTTTGTCTCCAAGGTTGTGCATTGTCAACGATGAGCTGTTTGTGCGGAATGCCAGTGCTGATGAGGTCCAGAGAGCCTTTGCCATGCCTGCACCCACACCTTCCTCCAGCCCCGTGCCCACCCTCTCCCCAGAGCAGCAGGAAATGCTGCAGGCATTCTCGACCCAGTCTGGCATGAACCTTGAGTGGTCTCAGAAGTGAGTACTGAGCATGTGTAGGAAATGGGGTAAACTCAGGTAGTGCTGGTGGTGAAAAATAAGTGCCCCTAAAATTTTTAAAGCCAAAACTTAGTAGTTGTAATGGAGGTGCCTGTTCTTCCCCTGCTCCAGGTGCCTTCAGGACAACAACTGGGACTACACCAGATCTGCCCAGGCCTTTACTCATCTCAAGGTAAGATTTGAAAATAGGCAAAGAGAGCTTCAGGCCTTCAAGAGGGTCAGGTAGGCTTGGGGAACGGCATGGACCACCTGGCTCTACTGACCTTTTTATGTTTCTTTAAGGCCAAGGGCGAGATCCCAGAAGTGGCGTTCATGAAATGATCCATAGTCGTACCCCAGAAGACCCCTGTAAATAGTCCCCAGACGTACTGATGTCTCCTCTCCGGCCCGAGGCCGCCCTGTGACTGTGACCGAGGAGGGAGGGCTGCTGGATCCTTCTCCTCACCTGCCTTCTGGAAGCCTCCAGAAGATTGAGCCTCCCTGGTGCCAGGAAGCCAAAGCTTACTTTGTAGAACTGACACTAAAATACCCGAAGGACTTAGGTGCTTTGTGTACTTAACCCCAGGATCCTCCCTACTTTTTAAGATAAAGAATGGTATTGTATTTGGTGTCCAGCTGCTGAGTTATTTTAGCCTTACCCTTCACAGGCGTGGGCGGGACCGAGGGAGGGGGCTGAAGGACTCTGGTGGTGGGGCGGGGCTAGCTGGCAGGAAGTCCCGCCCCGGAAACGCCTCCGCGCAGCGCCATGGCGGCGCCCGGACGAAGGTGGTCTGTGCTGCTGTTTCGAGCGCTGCAGTCACTGCCCGCGCGCCGGGCCCTGCATGACACGGCTCCGCCACGGGATGTGCTGCTCTTTGAGCACGAGCGGGGCCGCTTCTTCGCCGTCCTCGGGCTATTCTGCGCCGGCCAGGGCGTCTTCTGGGCTTCCCTGGCCATTGCCTCCTTGGCCCGTCCCCCAACCCCGGTTCGTCCAACAGACGCCAAGTCCCCAGACCATGGCCACTTGGACCTGCGCTCTACGCTCTGGCGCTACGGCCTTGCCGTCGGCTGCGGCGCCATCGGTAAGGTGTGGGCTAGCTTCCCAGCTTGGCCGAAGAGGGTGGGCACAATCCTCTGTGTTCGGGCAAGAAGAGTAAGGGTCTCTCGACCCTCCCAGATGAGCAACAGTGGGTAGGAGCGCGGTACACTAGAGTTGGAAATCCCTGAGCGCCAAGCCCTTGTACAGGTTCAAGCTGCCGTCTGTCTCTTATTTTGTGACCTTGAGCAAGTTAGTACCCTTACTCGGGATCCTGTTTTAAAATGGGGATGGGTATCTATTAAGGCTGTTGGGAGGAATGACTAATATATGACTGGGGTGTAAGAGGGACACAGTAAATGTTATTATCATCAGTTATTTTTATTCGGGGGGCACTGAAAGGGTTGCTGCTTAGCTTTCCAGTGAAAACTCAAATCTTTGCTTTTCCTACAGGTTCCCTGGTACTTGGTGCTGGTCTTCTCTTTTCCCTCCGCTCTGTGCGTTCAGTGATGCTGCGGGCTGGAGGGAAGCAAGTGACCCTCACCACTCATGCCCCCTTTGGTTGGGGTGCCCATTTTACGGTTCCCTTAAACCAGGTATCTTGCATGGCCCACCGGGGAGAAGTCCCTGCAATGTTGCCTCTGAAAGTCAAAGGCCGACGCTTCTACTTCCTCTTGGACAAAGCTGGACATTTCCCCAACACGAAACTTTTTGACAACACTGTGGGTGCCTACCGTAGCTTGTGAAGAAGCAACCTCAGGTCACTAAGGTTCAGAATAAAAACTGAACTTTAGGGATGAGGTGATAACCAGGGTCACACAGGGGGCCCAGAATTCATTAACAGCAAATAAAAGAGCAGTCATCCCAAGGGCAGCTACCTGCCCGTACCTCTTGAGTTTTTTGACCCATATCTGTTTAGCCTTCACTCCTTACTCCTACCCACCCTACCTACAGTGCTTTACACCAAGAACTCAGTACTGAGATGAAGAAAGAAAGTAATATAATACTCTGGTACAAAAACAGCTGTAGGAAAAGAGGTGTCATTACGTTTCCCTCCTGGAGGGAAAACTAAGGCTTCCCTCATAAACAGAGCCGTGTCAGGGCAAGAGGATTAAAGGCACTTGGGCATGGAGTCTGGCTGCAGAAGTACTTTTTGGTGAGTCTTCAAGAATGGGAAAGGCGTGGCCCAACAAGAGCATCTGTCTCAGAGCTCCACTCAGGGTCCCCCCTCTGCAGAGGCTGGTGAGGAGTGGCTTCAGACTTCCACTGCACAGCCTGGAGCACCACGACCACACACCACAATACCAGATTCACCCAAGAAGAAGTCTGTGGGAGACAGGAACAGCAGTGTGAGGACTGGGCCCACCTTGAATCCGGTTCCACCCACATACCACGCAGCTGTGCACGGTCAGGCTGTCAAGCCTTCAGCTCCTTAGCCCCTCACGGGTGGACCAAGCTCAGAGTACACTGGTGAGCACTGTTAAAGCTACAGATGGTATTCTACGATTCATTACACGAATCTGTATCCCTCAGTCTTCACCCAGCCTTTCATATCCCAGGGCCTCACTTCAGCGTTATGTAGGTTGGAATAAAACTGCACAGCGGTTCCAGGGGGTATCCATGGAGTTTTCTGGGCATCAGAGCAGCTGTGAGGTCAAAGAAACAGTCGTGAGAAAGGGGAGATAAACCCTAAATAGCCTTTCACGCCAGTGCCCTTTTGAGATGAGAACTGACAGGCACATAAAAAGCAGAGTATGGGATACTCTGCAGAGGGAAGCAGACAGCCCCAGCCAGACTCCCCCCTCTCCCATTACCTAGTCATGTTCAGGGAGATGATGGATTTGCACAGGGAACTGGTGCCAAATCGAAGGATACAGGCACACACTAAGACCAGGAAGATGGCTATAGCTGAGGTGGCCAGTGCAAAGCGGAGCCCCATCGGGCCTCTAGGAGGAGGGAGAGAAGCCTTGTGGTTGAAGTGGGACACCTCCCACCTCAACCCCTGACCCTCAGAGCAGGCAGTCACCTGTGGGAGTCCTCGATGCAGCTGGTGTAGACCCAGAAGAGCAGAAGCAGGAGACAGTAAAGGGCCAGTAGGCCCGAGGCCCCAGCCACAAAGTAGCAGAGGGATGGGGCCGAGGGTCGGGACAAGACCAGAGAGGAGCCATTCAGGACGGCCACACCATACAGAGGACAGCTGCCACTGAAGGAACCCTGTGGAAAGAAGCTGCTGAGTCCTAGATTTCAGGCTAGTACCTCTGAATGCAAGTTCATGGCAAGTGTTGGGGATAATCTAGACCAGGGCCACTCTAAGAGAGCTAATTGTGTATTACTGTCAGTTCCTGTTTCTGGGCCAGTAGATGAGTGGGTCTGGTGGGGAAATCAAATCTGCAGTGGCCAGAAAGATGAGGAAATAGGCAATGGTTATAAAATACAATGAGCTTCAGAAATACTTCACAAGTTCTGGTCTCCCTGGTACAGAAATTCTAGAGTAGAACCAAAACTTGTGTAACCTTCGGCCATCTCTGATGTTTTCTAATCTATAAAACAGGTGTAATAGTGCCTACTTACAGGGGTCAAACGAGTCTGTTTATTAACATGATTGCCTGGCTGAGGTAAACACTCGGCTAAACTTTTGGCTTCTGCTACATCACTGGTTTGCCATATGACACACTGCGTCGCAACAATTTGGTAGTTTGCTCATTTCTGCTACACTGCTTTCTTTAGGGCTTCCTGGTGGCTCAGGCGGTAAAGCCTCTGTCTGCAATGTATGGAGACCCGGGTTTGATCCCCGGGTCGGGAAGAGCCCCTGGAGAAGGAAATGGCAACCCACTCCAGTACTCTTGCCTGGGAAACCCCATGGACAGAGGAGCCTGGTAGGCTACAGTCCATGGGGTCGCAAAGAGCCGGACACGACTGAGCGACGTTACTTAATGCTCTCTTTGAGAGGCTCAGCACAACAGTGTCTTATTTAAAGGGACCTGGTCCAACTTGTTTTACAGCCAGGGTGAGGTTATGCAGCAGGAATCACCCGGCCGGGCTGTATCTGCTGTTAGGCACTCCCAAGGACTCGTTCCTTTTGCGAGGTAATAATTTCCAAGCACGACCTGGACAGATGTATCCACAGAGCGTAATTAGCGCTGATGCATCTCCGCCGGCGACCGGCCTCACCCGGGCGACTAGCTCCGAAGAGCTAAGCTGCGCGCCAGAACTCTGCCGGGCCGGACAGCAGCGGCCTCTCCGGTTCAGGGTCTGCCTGCTCCCCGCTTACCCACCCTGACGGCCGGCCCCGTCCCGCAACCGCACCTGGGTCCGGGTCAGCGCCGCGGCCGCCACGGCTCCGCATAAGAAGGCGGTAGCGAAGAACGCGAGTTCGACGCGCTGCAACCAGGCCAGCGCCATGACTTCCCCAACACCAGGAAGCGCCGCCGGAGCAGCCAACTGCCCAAGCCCCGCCTCATCCGGCGCGACCCACGAGCGCGGGGACGTCACTTCCAGGCGCGGGATTTATTTACAGAGGCGAAGGCAAGAGCCGCCTCAAAGCGGCAGGTACAGCGAGTAGTCCGAGAGCGCCCAGCGGCGGGCCGGGCGGCCGGTGCGGCCGATCATGGGCAGCTTCTGCACGTAACGGGAGGCCGGGCTGGGCCCGTACGGCGCGGGGAAGGCAGTCTGGAAGAGGCGCCCGCGGCATCGCCTCCCTGCTTGCCGCCCAGCGATAATGAAACGGAAGTAAGGGGCACCGCGCGGGGCGAAACGGCTCTTCTGGAAGACGTCGCGGGTGCCGGTGCCGGGGCCCTGCTGCCGGGGTGCTCCCCGCGCCCGGTGCACGCGGGGCAGCGGCCTGCTCTCAGAGGCGGCGGGCGCAGAGGCTGACGGAGGACCGCCGCCCCGGGGGCTCTCGTCGCCCTGCGGGCTGACCATGGCGTTGGCTGTCAGCTGCGGCATCTTCCGCACCGAGTCCGGGGCGGCCGCCGGCTCCTTCTTGTCCCCGGGCGGCCGCGGGGCCGTGGGCGCGGGCTGACCCGTACCAAAGCGGATGGCCAAGCTGTCACCGAAGAAGGCGTAAAGCTCCCGATAGATGTACGCCAGGGTCACTGAACGGGAAGGATCCTCTGGCCCCGCGCCTCCAGGAGCCATTGGGAGACCAGACCCAAAGCCTGGCTCTGCGCTGCCCCCGGAGGGAGACTCCTGAAGGAGAAGGCTGTCCCAGGGCAGGTCGTCCGAGCGCCGGCACCCCCTGCTGCCTGGCCCACCCTTGTTGGGCTCTGCTGCCTGGGCCTTCATCTTCAGCAGTCGTTCTACGGCCACCTGTAAGAGCAGTGGGACTAGGATATAAGGAACCTGGGCCTAATTTTCTAAAGTAAGCCAGCTGAGCTGATGCAGGAAGGAGAGGCTGGAAAGGGCTGGCACTCACCAAAATGGCTCCATAGACTTTGTGTCCATCTGCTTTAACCTGGGCATTCGATACTGAATAATCGTCGAGCACAGCCTGCAAATTTGTCCAGTAAGTGGACAGGTGTGGATACAGGACTCTCTCTACTGCCTAGATGGAAGAGAAGAATGCAGTGAGTGCCTCTTTTGCTCACTGCTTACCAAGTACCATTTCCTCTGAAAGATCTAGTTTTATCTCTGGTTCTGGACAGGGCTGAATCCTAAATACCCTCCTTGGCATATTCAGCTAACATTTATTTGGAAACTCCTGAATGTCCAAGCCTTAATTAAGCAATGGGAATAAAGATGAGGTACAAAGACAAACAATATAAAATGACCCCACTATCACTGACATTATGTGCTGAGGGCTGAAGGATATAAGTAATGCCCCCTGCTAACTAAGAAATTTAGCTGCCAACTGCTACATTCCAAGAACCGTCCTGGCTTACGTGTAAACTGGAACTCAATTCAAACCACTTGCACAAAAACAACAGCTCAGAAACCTGGACTCTGATTATGTAGTTTTAATTCCTGTGATTAATTTGGGGGAAAATAATTAAGACTTCAAGTTCCTAGAAAAATATAGCTTAATACTGACTCAAGAAATATGAAAACTCAAATAATTCTGTAACTATTAGTTAAAAATATAACCACAAAATATATATATATATATAACCACAAAACAGCATGCCAGAATTTACAAAGTCAGCGTACAGACATTCAAGGAACAGAGTGTCTCAATAAAACATAATTAAACAAAAATATAAATATAAAAAATACTCCCTCTCCACCTTATTCTATAAAACCAGTATAACCCTGATACTAAAACCATAAGAGGAGAGTACATAATTGATTTCATTCATAAATACAGATAAATCATTTAAATCCAACTATATATAAAAAATATATTCCAATGAAAGTTCTGCACTTTTTTAAAGACTATACCATTACTAAAGTGAGTTTATCCTAGAAATGTAAAGATAGTTTACTATTAGAAAATCTGTATGGGGAGTTCCCAGTGGTTCAGTGGTTAGGACTCAGCACTTTCACTGCTGGGACAGGGATTCAGTCCCTGGTTGGGAATCAAGATCCCACAAGCTGTGTGACACAGGCAAAAAAAAGAAAACCTATATAGACAATTAACAACATTAACAGATAAAAGCAGGAAAACCTTAGAATCAATTAAAAAGATACAGAAAGTGCATTTGATAAAATTAACATAAATTAATAATTAAGAATATAATTCCCCTAACCTGAGAAAGGTAATCTACAAACACACAAAAGTAAATGTCAGCCTAAACAGGACAGGTTATTGTTAGTACTGTTTTTTAAATTGGAAATGAGACAAGGATGCCCAATATCAACATATTTAAAATGATATTAGTGGTCCTAGCAATAAAAAGAAAAAAATTACTAGGTTTGGGAATTCTCTGGTGGCCCAGTGGTTAGGACCCTGCACTTTCACAGCCAAGGGCTCAGGTTCCAATCCTGGTTGGAGAACTAAGATCCCACAAGCCATGTGGGGTGGCCAGAAAAGGAAAACGAATTCAAAAAAATAAGGCATTAGGTTTATTTTTTTTTTTTTTTTGTTTCACTTTTTATTTATTTATTTATTTTTAACTGAAGGATAATCGCTTTACACTATTTATTGCATTGCTTTTTCCATACACCAACATCAATCAGTCATAACGGTTTCGCTTTTAGTAATGAGCATGACAGGATACAAAAGCCACAGTGTTTCCTGTACTGAAAAATTCTTGTGAGTGGAAGAATGGAATCAGCAAAATGGAAAGGGCACGACACATCTATCCGTCCTAAAAATGCATTAAAAGATGTTGGGGTGGGGGTGGTGGTTATGTAAAGAAAACTTAATTCAAAAAAGCTGGAGCACTTCCAACACTTGGAGTTGCTATGTCACAGTAAGCTTTTATTGGAGCATCCTCCAAATTGCTCACCAGGGGCCCAGAGGAAAATCTCCCATGCCATTAGAGGGACATATTAGACTCCAATGGCACGTGCACAGAAATTATCAGGCTGAAGGCATTAGGTTTAAAAAAGACAAAGCTTCCATTATTTGTACATGGTATTATTTACCTTAAAAGCCCAAAATAATCTACAGTTTAAAAATGATAAATTTAATGAAGTAGATGAATCAATACACAAATCAGTTGTGTTTCTATACACCAATAAGAAATACCATGAAGAGACATTACAACACTATCAAAGAATAGGAAGAATCTAGGAGTAAACAAATTATATTGAGGCTCTCTTCAGGGGAAATTATGAAAGGATCCTGGAAGACAGTGAAAAACCTAAAAAATGGAGAAAGAGGACACGTTCATGGACAAGAAAGACTATTTTTCTAACTATAAACAGGAGCTATTATGGTTCTGTGAGAAAAGCCAGGGTCCTCACCTTCCAGCCAAGAGCATGCAGCCCCACCACAGCCCCGTAGTGAGAGCAGAGAGGCCTCACAGGATCTGCCAAGACTTTCTGCAGGGAGAGCAGGATCTGCTGACAGAGGCCATTTACAAGGTCCCCATGAGTCCTGTGGGAGCAACATTCAGTCAGGAGAACGAGGCACCGCACACAGAGGAAGCAGCACGTGTATGGCACACTGGGGAAGTGAGCGAGACGGCTGGGTCCAGGGCCTGAGGGCTGACGGACCAACCCCCTGGCATCTCTGTCACCCCTTTATAAAGCCCCAGGCACAACGACTTGGAAGATCAGAGGGAAGACACTCCCAACCTCTCAACCTGTGGCCTTAAAGCCAGAAGTTTCACCCCATCTCCCACCCCAAGCCACTCGGCTCTGCCACAGTCCGCCCTTGATCAGCGCTAGGCCCAGGAGGCTACCAGAAGATGTGGCTCAGCAGGAGGGCAGCGCCATCCCGCAGTGTCCAGTGGTCATTCAGCGGGTTGATGGAGGCAGCCAGCGGCTCCAGGACACAGTAGAGGACGCTGCCCACCAGGGAGCGGACATAGGGCCCCAGGCAGAGGTGTGGGTTCCGAACCAGGCTCCGTGCCACCTGCAAGAGCCGGTGCAGCTGCTCCAGGTCATGGCTTACAGACTTCACCTGTTGGGAGAAGGGTGCTTAGGGGGACATGGGGGTGCAGGAGAGCCTGCTCGGCTGGTGGCACCTGCCTGTGAGCCCTACAGCCTGCTGCATCATCTCCTCCCCACAGACCCGCCCCTGCCGCAGCCTGGTCACTTACCCCACTGACCACATAAACAAAGTATGGCAGGAGCGCTGCAATCTTGGAGTTGGTCTGCAGGTCCTGGAGAGCAATCTGAAACAGAAGGGGCCACGCTGCCCTGGTCCACCCACCCCAAGTATAAACTGATGCCTCTTTAAAGGAAAACTTGGCACCTATGTATTAACATTTTAAATGTTCATACTTTGACTCAGCAATGCCACTTCTACAAACCCACTATAAACAAAACCTACTTACACACATATCCACACATAGCACTGTCTATAATAATAAAAAGCTGAATATAACCTAAGCCTGGCATCCATGCAGTCCATGGACGCCATGCAGTCCACGGGGTCGCAAAGAATTGGACACGACTGAGCGACTGAACTGAACTGAATATAACCTAAATGTCCAACATATTTTTAACTGAATATAGCAGTTATTCTAAAACCAGATGTTTAGTTTAATACCACTTTGATTGACACTAGACTATGATAGTTTATACATAGAAAAAAAATGTGAGTGGGTGGTTCTACACAATTTTTACTTTGTATGTTTTACAGTACTTCTATAATAAACATATGCTGGTATTACTTTTTTTTTTTTTTAGTATTACTTTTATAAGCAGAAAAAAATGGAGGCAATGAGAAAGACCATCTTAGCCTGAACCTCCACCACCTGTGCCCTCCCAGCTCCTGGATCAAGACCTGAAGTTCAGGCACTGTGAAAGCAGACAACAGCTCAAGAGAAAGGCACCCAGCTCCCAGGCCCCAGGCCCACCCACGTGCACTGTGTCTGGGAACAAGCAGCAGACTTTGTGAGGCAGGAGAGTGCAGTAACAACAGTCCCAACTTTGCACGGGAAGTAACAGCAGCAGCCAGACGGGGAAGATGTAAACCCTCAAACAGAGAGGCCACGTGGTCAAGCAGACCACCAACCAGCCCTCCTCTGCCTCTGGTGGAAGAGGCCTGGCACACGCAGTGTCCAGCGGGGCCCTGTGGAGCCCTAGAGGGCTGGTGTGACGTCTGGCTGGCACCCTCACCAGGCTCCCTCTACTTCCTCTCCTTTTCCTCTCAAGTCCAGACAGATGAAAGGTGCAAGGTGGATGCCCCACGTGGCTCCAGGTCAACAGACACCCCAAAGAATGGGCTCTGGATTAAGGTGTGGGGGGACTGACCACGTGTGCCGTCCCCCGCTCCACAGGACCCTGCAGAGCGGCCATTCCCTAAGGAACTGGGTTCCTACTGGGGCAGGAAGGGGAGCAGTGCTGGAGAAGGGCCAGCCACAGAGCAGCACGCCCCCCACCAAGAGCAGCTTCCACCCAGATCAGCCAGCGTGCAGAGGACAGGAGCAGGCCTCTGAAGGATTTCCACGGGGGTTTGAGGGCTGGACTTTGGCCCCAGCTCAGGCCCGCGTGCTCACTCTCATCAGCTGTGGATCATCCCCCAGCACAGCCCGAGTCACTTGCTGGTAGTACTTGAGAAGGTCATCGGTCAGAGAAGACACAGCACTGGGCACTGCGAGAGGGCGGGCAGAAGGTGGTCAGGGTGCAGCCCAGCGCTCTCCCAGCCTCCCTGCCTGCTCCCCGCTCCCGACAACCCCCACCCCACCAGGAGCCCGTTCAGACAGGAGGCCTCTCGGAACACAGAGCCGCCAGCCCCTCTGAGCAGCCTGCTCACCCTGACCTTGCAAGCTCTCCACAGCCCAGCTCCGCACGCTGCCTCCCACCTGTGCTCTGCCCGGCAGCCTCCTGCTTAATCCCCAAGGTCCATGTTCATAAGCCTCAGGCTCTGTAAGCTCCATTCAGCAGACCCTGGAAGTGTGACACCTCAGGGACCCCAGTAAGCTGCTCAGACTTCTGCACTAACATCCAACACGGCGTCATGACTGGTTACAGGCCTGAGAGCCCATCTCCAACTGTGAGGCCTCTGGGCAGGGATCAGTGCCCACTCAGGACTGGCACCAGGCAGGCACCAGAAAATACTTGTCAGATGAAGACTCAGAGGGGTAGTGGCACCACCCTCAGTCCTAAGGGAGAGAAGTCCAAGCAGAGGGCCCATTCCCCGTACTACCCATTACCTGATCCTTGAGGGGCCAGGTTCCCTTTGCCGTCTAGGTAGGAGACATGAACTAGAACCAGAGCAGAGAGATGGGTCAGCCTGGGGTTTTGCCCCTTGTAACACCATCCACCCTTCTGAATTTTGCTCCATCTACCCACCAGCCCATCACCACTCCTCCAAGAACCCAGATCCTGTCCCCGCCCCATGGAGGACCCCAGCAGTCACCTCTCACGGCCGTCTCAGCACAGCCTTTGGGGATGTTAGTGGCCAGGGCCAGCTCCACCAGGTTCACCTCTCGGTCCTCGGGGAAGTAGAGCTCACCCTCCCTGGTGGGGCGCAGGGGAAGCACCTCCTGAGACCCATAACCGCACACGGCCTGAGTGAAAAGAAGATAGGGGAGCAGGCTGAATCTGGGAGGTAAGTGGGGCACTACCAGCCAGGGCCCAGAGCCTCTGTTTGCGGGGAGTTCAGAGGCCCTGAGCAGAGGGGGATGCCTGGGACTCCAGGCCCTTCACTGGGAATCTGGCTGCAGCTCCGGTGCTCACAGTGAGGTCCCTCCTCATGGAGCTGCAGGGACCCTGAACCCCACCCTCAAGCTGCTGATCCTCCTCACATAGACCAGCTCTGAAAACACTCCTCTCTTCTAAACGTGATCTTCTTCCCTGGACCCCCTGCCCTGGAACAATCATGCAGGATGTTCTGACACCCACGCCTGTGCTCAGGCTGCTCCCTCACCCAGAACAGCCTCTTTTCCTTGCAACTGAGTCTAATCCCGGCCTCCTTTTCAGGTTCAGCTCAAGTGCCACCTCTTCCAAGAAGCCTGCCCTTGCCTCCGGGCCTCCGAGGCCGCCTCTGCCTCTCTGAACGCCTGGCCCTGGGGGGCTGGGCGTGACACCTGTGTGTGCGTTGGGCCTCACGTCTCACTGTGCGGCCAGCCCTGAGCCGCGCACGTGGGCAGGCGTGCGCCAGCTGAGCCCTCTGCAGCCCATGCCCCACTCACCTCCACACTGCTCCATCGGAGCGCCCTGTTGAAATCCTCGACGGTCAGCTTCCGCCGTTTGGTGTGCTTCATGAACTGAGAGCTATTCTGCAAGGGGAGGCACGGAGTCAGGGGACAGGGAGCAGGGGGTGAGGGGCAAACAACTCCCAGTGTCACATGCCCGCTGTGACTCAGTTTCTCACATGGGGGATGTGACGATGGACCCGCCTGGCCTGCCCAGCGGGGCTGTGCTGAGGGGCATGCGGGAGGCTGCCCAGCAGGCGCCTGGCTCTCTGGAAGCCCAGCTGCCTAGGAGGAGGCCCTGGAGAGGACGGGGACTGCCTCCACTGTATTCTGGAGGGGCCTGACAGATACCAGCTGAATAACCCTGGGGGAGAGGGCAGTCACAGGGAGGGACAGGAGGGGAGTGTACCTGGGTGGCCTCTCTGAGTCGGTAGCACACGTCCTCTGCGAGCAGGGCCGCCACCTCATCGCTCAACTCCAGGCCCGTGCTCTCCGCCATGAGCCGGACGGACTCCCGAGGGATCTCCACGAACCGCCGTTCTTCTCGCTCTGACATGGCCCCGATGGAGCTGGGGGTGGGAAGGGAGATGGGAAAGGGTAGCCCAGTCTCCCTCTGAGTCCGGGAGCCTGACTGAAGGCCCTCCAAACCAGTCTCGCTGCTCCAGAATCCTTGAACAAGGAGCCTCATCTGAGTGTCCAGGTGAGGAAACTGAGGCTCAGAGCAAGAACCAGACTCGAGCTAGGTCATAGGGCAGACAGCAGCTGATGTCTGAGAAGGTGCCTGGCCTTGGGAGGCACAGAACTGGGTCCCAGCCCTGCTCCATCACTCCCAATGTGAACCAGGCTGAGACTTTCATCAGTCTGAGGGCTGGTAAGATAGTGGCAATAACCCCTGCCCTCCCTAATGCCCAGGGTTGCTATGAGGATGAGATGAGATGATGTAGGAGAAACTCAAGGGCCAGAACACTACACAAATGCAAGATATTACAATTGTTAATTATAAACAAAAACTTTTGTCTTCTTCTGGATCTGTGCTACAGCCACCAGTACTAAACACTGATGAAGAGACTACTTTTACCCTGACAGTTCCTTGCTCAGACGTCTTCAGTAGTTTTCCAGGACTCATAAAAGGAAAGTCCCAACTCCCTGGCTCAACATACTGGGATTGGTCCCAAATCCGCAGAGCTCATGGTGCTGATCCATCCTCCCAGGAAGGCCACCTCGTGGCTTCCAGCCTGCCTTGTACCTCACCGCTGGTGCTCAGGCTGGCCCGCCCTCCCCCATCCCAAGCCCCCATGCCCTCCTCTTTCCTAAGGCAAATCCAGTCTGTTCTTTGAGGTCTTCCTGCCCCGTGCCATCTGGGACTGTCAGCCTTTCAGTAGTTGGGCTTTTTGCCCATGCCTGGTCTTCCCCAGTATGGCTGAGGGGCTCAGAGCAGGAACCTGCTCTTCCGTTCACAGGATATAGCAGAATAAGAACCCAAGAAAAACAGCAGCTGATGACTGACTCCAACAACACACGCCACACTTAGAAGGTTGGCCCACACGGGCCAAAGTGAGACAATAGCACCACAGCAGCGAGGGCCCAGTTTCAGTGGCCCGCCCAGGTTCTGCCCCAGCACTCCTCTCTGACAAGGCCCAGCGCGTCACCAGTGACCTCCAGGTCCCTAAATCCAGTGGGTACCCTACCTGGCCTCCCTGCAGCATTTCTCCCAATGGCTCCTCATTGCCTTTAGAATAAAAAACAAACCTGTGCCATGGCTCCAAGGCCCCGCATGTGTGCCTACATCTCCAAACATCTCTTTCCACTCTTGCTTGTGTTCTGCATTCCTGTAGCCTCTGTTTCCTCAAAAACACCTTATTTCAGGATGCTCACACACTGTTTCCTGGACTGAGAACGCTCTCCTCTACCCCCAACCCCTTTGTCCAGTGAACTCCTAGGCCTTCCTTCAGATCTCGGTCTCAAACTGTCACTTGCTGGGGGCTTCCCAGTGAGTCAGTGATAAAAAAATCCGCCTGCCAATACAGGAGACATGGGTTCGATCCCTGGTCCGGGAAGACTCTACATGCTGCAGAGCAACTAAGCCCGTGCACCACACGTACAGAGCCTGAGATCTGGGGCCCACACGCCACAGCTACCAAAGCCGTGAGCCCTAGAGCCTGTGCTCTGCCACAAGAGAAGCCACGGTAATGAGATGCCCATGCACCACAACTAGAGAGTAGCCCCCGCATGCCGCAACTAAAGAAAAGCCCATGCAGCAAGGAAGACCCAGCACAGTCAGATAAATAAATAATTTTAAAATTTAAAAAGTCACTTGCTCAGAGAAGTCTTCTCAGACCCTCACCATGTGCCATGACTTTATCTTCCAAAGCAGTTACCAGTTTGTAATTGTATATACCTGTGTAACTTTTTGATTAACATCTACCTCCTCAGTAGACTCTAAGCTCCATGCTGACAAGGTATCATGCCTTTTTGCTCACCTTTGCATCCCCAGCGTCAGGCACGGTGTCTGCACATAACACACCCTCAGTAAACACCTGCTGAAAAAATGAGCACACGATCGCTATTTTTCTCAGCATATACTATGCCTGAAGCTTGGAGCTAAGTGCTTTATGTGGTTTACACCTCATTTCGTCTGGATTAACAATGAAAGAAGTATTAAGTAAACATTGTATCTATTTCACAGCGAAGGAAATCAGAGCCGAGTGGTTAAAATGTTAAATGATTTTCCCAAGATCATCCGGCCAGCACTACCTAGGTAAGGGAGCAAGAACTCAACTCTCTCTAATCATGAGGAGCGGCGGACTGTGTGGGAAACAAGGCCTGGATTCCCAGTCCAGAGACTTGGCGTTGGAGACCCGCCAATGGCTAACCTTCTTTCTCCACCTGTCAAGTAGCAGCAGCAAGTCCTGCCCGCGGAAGGCGCCAAGGAAGTTTCCCTATTACGTGCCCACATCACACCCCACAAAGTCCGGCCCTGACCAAGGTCTCCAGTTCCTCAGCCTCCTCTCCACATCCTCAGCCACTAGCCACACCGATAAGGAGGCGTGGGAACTGACCTCTGCCGGCCTCCGAGAAGCGCATCCTCCCACCCAGCCGCGCTTCATCCCAGTTCGAAGGGGGGGTGGGGTGGGCAGGGAGGAGGAGGTCAGAGGTCACCGAACTTGGGTCACGTGGCCGGCGAAGGGGGCGGGCCCCCAGAGGATCGGGCGCCCAGGCCGGTGAGCGCGCGATCTGCAGCAGGACGGCTCTGTGAGGGCTTGCTCACCTGAGGGCTCCAGGACGGCGAAGACGGTTACCGAGACGGCGGTGGCGGTGACTGCGGCGGCAGCGGCGGCGGCGATGGCCCGTACTCACCCTGCTTGTACTAATTCCCTCTCTCGGCGGCCAGGCCCCGCCCTCCACGAACACAGCCAATCGGCGGGCGCCTTCAAGAATTCCTGCCCACAAAGGAGCTTCCCACTACGCGATTGGCCACCGTGCTCTGTAGAAGGCTCGGAACGTCCGAGGTCACGTGAGGTTGAAGACTCGCGCCTCTTAAAGCAACAGCTCTCCGGCGTTTTGTGGCGTGTGTAATCGTTCGATCTACGTTTTAATACACATGTTCTCGACGAAACCATGCCCATTCCTTTGTCTACTCCTGAGTTTCCGAACACTTGCATTTACGCGAATGTATTGACGCTTTAGACTTTGGCGTCTGCCTTAGTTTTGCTGCCTGCTTGGTGGGGCTCAACTTAACTCTCCAACATCACCTGCCACTTCACTTCCCCAAGGTTGAACCGGAATCTCAGTCGGCATTCTCTGCTGGCAGAAGGGTCTTCTGACCTGGCCAAACACACCCCGTGCGAGCTCCAGACTCCAGGGCTCTGCCGATTCGGGCACCCTACCTCGTATCCTCCCCATTTCTGTCCTGTAAGCCCTCACCTACCTCAGACTTCCTTGACCATTTTACGCGGACACACTTCCCTGAACTTGGGCAGTTCTGTTGAAAAGCAGTGAGCTTAATGAGTAAAGGATATTTGGAGTCATAGCAAAAGGAGTTCAAACTCTGATACTGCTTTTGGGCAAATTACCTAACCACATTTCCATATCTACAAAATGAAGTAAGAATACCCATCTCACAAGGTTATTGTAGGTTAAAAGAGACAATGTAGATTGAGCTTTGGTAGTGAACTTTCACTCACATCAGGAGGCAGACAGTGAATTAATCCTTTTATGTTCATCCAAGATGGGACCATTTGCAATGAGCTATTTATTAAAGGAGGTTTCTGCAGGGGAGCTTGAATGTACACAACCTCGCCCTTCCTCCCTCTCAGTGTTAGATGCTGCTGTCCCTAGAAAGGAAGATCCTCTGAGACCAGAGCTGAGAAAGCCAGGTGGATGACTGGGGTTGCCATAGCAACACTACCTAAGAAGACTGACACGCTTTTGAGTCTCCCCCGCCCAGCCCCCCCCCCCCCGTCATATTCAGAATATGTGGAGTAGTCACAGGACTGTGCTTGGTCACTGGAGTGTCTTCCCACCTATGCATAAAGGAAGAGGGGGTTCCTCCAAAGTTCTGAGTCTGAGATCAGATCTCCTGGCTGTTGGCAGGACTCCTTGCAAAGGTGTTATTGGTAGGGACAGCCTTTGGTAACCTTGGCAGCATGAAACAATAGAAGAGAGGACAGCCTGGAGGCCTGTAGGATGCAGTGACGCCCCATCCAAGCTGTCTGGGACTGATTTGCCTCCAGCTTGAGTCAAGGCATCAGGGTCTTTTCCAATGAGTCAACTCTTCATGAACTGACCTGAACTGAACTGAACTGAGTCAAGGCAAGGGCCAGGGAAAGGAGTAAATCCCCTTGCCACAGCTGGGAGAAAGATGGCTCCTTCTCACTCTCCAGCCACCCAATCACCCAATGCCTGGCAAGAAGAGTTATGAGGTTTTACACTATTAAAAAAAAAAAAAAAATACAGCTCCACTACTCACTAGCTTTGTGACCTTAAGCATGTTAGTTCATCTATTTTATCATCTGTCAAGAAGGATGACAAAACATTACGCTGAACTGTCGAGAAAATTCAATAATGTATGTAAAGGATTTAACATATTACCTGGCACATACTCCTGTCACTATAAAGCCTGTGACCTCTTTAAGAGGCCATAACTTCCTGAGAATTCCCTGGTGATCCAGTGGTTAAGACTCTACACTTTGGGATTTCCCTGGTGGTCCACAGGCTAAGACTCTGCACTCCCTATGCAGTGGGTCCAGGTTCAATCCCTGGTCAGGGAACTAGATCCCACATGGCGCAATTAAGACCCAGTGCAGCCAAATAAATTATTTTTTTTTTTAAAAGACACCACACCACACTTTCATTGCTGACAGCCCAGGTTAAATCCCTGGTTGTGGAAGCCAGCCACTTGCACATCGATCTCTAATACAGAGCAGCAATGCTCTGACATACCATCCAAAGAGGGTTGTATGACCATATTACAATAAAGAAACATACAGTCACCCAGCTAGAACTAAAACCCAGCTCTGTATCAACCCAAATACTGTTTTCTGCTACACAGCTCTGCTTCCTAAGGAAGTCAAGGAAAGCTTAAGAAAACAAAAAATGGCTGAGATTTGATAGATTACTAGGAAACAAGCAGATAGGAAAAGGGAAAAGGCATTCCAAGTTAGGCAAATAGTATTGCCAAGACACAGCATCGAGGGAAGGTGGTGTGTTTGTTCAATCTTCTTCTTTTGTATATTTTTGTTGCGTTACCCCAATGAGATTATGAGCCCTTTCATATGTTCAGTTTAGTATATTAATTGATTAGCAAATAAAGGCTATTGTTTATGTGCCCATCCTAAAAAGGACTGGGACTCCACAATCTGTATCATTACTATTCTGTTATTCACTTCCCCCAACCCTGCTGTCTCTTCTTCCCCCTCTCCAGCTAGAGTCTTGGTTATTTTAAGGGCTGAGGAGAGGGCAAATTCTCTGAAACTAGACTGGGGCTCTAGACTAGAGTGGCTCTAATGATACTGCCATTTGCTGAAAGCCAAAGACCCAACAAACTCTGGGAGACAGTGAAGGACAGGGAAGCCTGGCGAGCAGCAGTCCATGGGGTTGCAAAGAGTCGGACATGACTAAGCAACTGTACAACAACGCCCCAGCACTACAGCCCTAGCTTCAGTGAGGTCAACTTGAGACCTTGGCAAGAGGGTCAGTCAGATCCCCTGGTGGCTGAGGCTAGTTAAGCCATCAGGCCAAGAAAAGAGGGGCTGGCAAGCCACCCGCCCTACAGCCCTTTTACAAAATGAGTTGTTCTTAGCAAAGAAAGAAGGAGATGACACTTCAATGAAAATCAAGGACCTTTTATGGTTAGAACACACAGTCAAAAATCTGGGAGTGGCTGCTAAGCCACAAGAAGAGCCAGGTGTCTTCTGAGGGCAAGGAACCCTCCTTGCCTCCCCGACGGCAGCCAGACTGGGCCTCTGGACAACATGGTAAGTGTGACAGTCACACCTCCTAGATAGGGACCAAACAACGTAGGTCATGGTGCTCAGCTCACAAGCCCTGCCGAGAACAGAAAAAGCACAGTGGTTAGACCCAGAGCTTAGGACAGCCCTAACCATGCACTTCTCATTCCAGGGGGCAAGTGTCCTTGGTCTTCCAAGCAGACAACATGAGAGTTTCTTTCATCAGTGGCTCAGGCATTAAATTCCATATTCACTCCCTGTGCCCACACACCCCTCCTTTAGACAACAACCCTGGCACTCACCCAAGTAATCATCCATCAGGGAGCCGATAGCAAACTGCAGAAGGAAAGGGAAAATGGAAATGAAGCCAAAGCAAGCAGAGAGCTCTCCTCTAACTCTCAGCCCCAGGCCTTCTGCCCACCCATCTCTTCTTCCTGGCAGAAGAGCACAAAACCCCCAGGAACTCTTGAGTAGGAAGAATGCAACAGCTCGGCCTGGTACGGGCAGGGAGGCAGTCAGGAGACTCACGATGTCATTCTTGTCCACACGGGTTCCCACAATCTTCAAGCGGATCTCATCGTCCTGCTGAATCACAATGTCCTGGGGAGGAGGGAACAGTACAGACAGACACTCCCAGGCCAATATCCTCCCTCGGAGTGGCTCATTCCCTTGTCCCTCTCACCAACTTCTTCTGCCCACTCACCTCATCCATCGTTTTGTAACACGGTGGGTTGGAGTTAGGATCAAATTCCATCTCTGATGGGATGGACTGAAAGGAAGGTCAAACTGAGTAAGAGCACTTGAAAAGGATGCTTTAGCAAATTCTCCTGAGTACAGGTCTCCTCCTTAAACCCACCCAGTGTACCTAGACTTACGTGTCGAGAGATGAAGCAGGACATGGGACCAATTTCTGTGAAGAGTCCAACCTAGAAGAGAAAAGAGAGACCTTGCTTTTTCTTTTGTCTCCCAAAGTCTCCTAAGCCTCCCATCTTTATGTGGTTCTTAACAATATTCTTCATGTTTTGAAACCACTCTGAAGTTTGTCATTTTGTTTTCCCTAAGCTTTCTTTTTTTTTTTCTTCCCAAGCTTTCATTTTAAGCTAAGGAAGTGTAGTGGTAAACAGCTGAGACCTAGAACTTGTCATTCTGGGCTTTCAACACTTGTTGGACACATGACCGTTGCCAGCAGACTCAACTTCTCCAAGCTTCAGTGTGGAGATAAAAGCACTCATTTCACAGTCATTCAGAGGTTTTGCACACTACCTGGCCCACAATGGAGGCTACTATTGTTTTGACTCACTACTGACACTTACATGCTCCTGAGTGAGGCAGGGCAAGATTACCATACCATTTGACAGGTGAGGAAACTTGAAGCAGAGAGAAGTGATTTGACCAAAGACACAGAATTTGACCAAAGTGGGACCCATCCCAGATCTTCAAAGCGAGGGACCTTCCCACTACCTATCCTGTGGATGGTCTTACCTTGTTGACCTGAGTGACCACCGCATCCACGACCTCCCCTTTAAAGGGCCGGAAAACAATGGCCTTGTACTTAACTGGATAAAGGACAAAGCCTCGGCCTGGTTGGATCACACCAGCACCGATATTGTCGATGGTAGTGACGGCAATTACAAAGCCATACCTGCAAGGAGGCAGAGAAAGTGAAAGGCACTGTCTATGAAAGAGCCTCTGAAACCATCTGCCACAGGAGGGCTTCCCGGGTGGTCCAGTGGTTAAGAAAACCCCTGCCAATTCAGGGGACACAAGTTCAATCCCTGGTCCGGGAAGATTCCACATGCCACCGAACAGCTAAGCCAGTGTGCTGCAACTACGAAGCCCAAGCCCTAGAGCCCATGTGCCTCAACAAGAGAAGCCACCACAATGAGAAGCCCACACACAGCAACTGAGCCCCGCTTGCTGCAACTACAGAAAGCCCGTGCAGCAACGAAGACCCAGCGCAGCCAGAAAAAAATACAAAAAAGCATCTACCGCAAGAGTCACTGACCCTGGAGGTAAAGGGGGAGCACAAAGGGGGAGTAGTTGGCCCCCTGGCCCCAGGAGAGCTTAATGATCAAGAGAGAAGACAGGACAATCAGCAGCAGCTATAATGCCAAACGCTGCTCTCACAATTTCACAGTCAGTGTCCAAAAAGGCTGCAGTTCTTAATCTCAATCTTGGTGATGCCTCAGAATCACCTGGGAGAAACTTGCTAAAATGCCTGTTCCCAGGCTGGTCCCCAGTCTTGATGCTGGAGGGATGAGATGAGGCTCAGGAACCTGTATGTTCAAAGAACACCTCAGCTGACTCTGATGCTGGATACCTGAGTACGCTATAGCCCTCCTCCTCCCCCCTCATTTACTTCACCATGTGCGGAGCTCCTCTGTGCAGAGCCCAGAGATGTCAAGTCTCAGTTCTCTTCCCTCCTCCCGCTAACTCTCAATCTGCTTTATCCTGCCCATTCATTCAACAAACTTTTAGTGAGGCCCAAGATGTGCCATGCCAGGTCCCTGGGTATGGGGGGTAAAGAAAAACAAGGGCTGACATCATTTTGTCTTTTTCATTGCATTGTTCCCAGGGCCCATCACAGGGCCCTGGCACACAGCTGGAGCTTCAGAAATGTTTGCAGAGTTAATGACAAATGTTGGCTGAACAAAGGAAGTTCTGTTATGGAACTTCGCAGAGGGCACCGTGGGAACCCAAAGCAGGAAGCAGCTAACTGCCTGGGAGGGTGAGAGGGCTTGCCAGGGTAGGTTGCAGAAGCTTTCACGATGTGTAGGCGCTGGGAAGGGGGTGCAGGCATAGAAGGCCGTGTGCACAGTGTTTAGGCGGCAGGGAGGGTGCGACACTCACTTGCCGGTGCAGGTCCCCTCCACCTCGGTGAAGAGCTTTTGTTTCACCGTGTTGAGCAGGTTAGGGCCGAAGTACCGCGGATGTAGCAGAATCTCGTGCTCCAGGGAGATCTGTGGGGAAAGTGGAATGGAGTCGGGCAAGGAACGGGAGGAATATAGGCAAGAAGAAGCCGCCCCTAGTCCCAGCCTTCCATTTCGCTCCTCCTCTTGACGCTGCCCTCGCCGCCACCCTGTGCCCTGCTCACGTGGTAAAACATCTTCCCGGAGGAGGCTGGACAGAAGCCGGGTGGACGGCTGCTCGAGCAGCGGTGCCTACACACCGACCGGAAATACAGCAACTTCCCCAACCCCGTTTCCGGGCCTGCCCCGAAAAGTGGGCGGGACTCACCGCCTCCGCGGCCCCCATTGGCCTTCGCTGTCGTGGGCGGGGAAACACATGAGGCTCCTCCCCTCCGTCCAGCCGTCAAAGTGCCCAACTCCCTTAAGGGTTAACAGTATCTCGCATAGATTAGATGCTTAGTAAATACCTTTAAAAGGAATTAATGAGAGGTCGCATAAATAAGGCGCTTTAGCAGAGTCTATTCATTCTGCAAAGAGTTGAAGACTGCTTTCACATAGTAAGTATCAGTTCAGTTCAGTTCAGCCGCTCAGTCGTGTCCAATTCTTTGCGACCCCATGAATCGCAGCAAGCCAGGCCTCCCTGTCCATCACCAACTCCCGGAGTTTACTCAGACTCATGCCCATCGAGTCGGTGATGCCATCCAGCCATCTCATCCTCTGTCGTCCCCTTCTCCTCCTGCCCCCAATCCCTCCCAGAATCAGGGTCTTTTCCAATGAGTCAACTCTACGCATGAGGTGGCCAAAGTATTGGAGTTTCAGCTTCAGCATCAGTCCTTCCAATGAACACCCAGGACTTATCTCCTTCAGGATGGACTGGTTGGATCTCCTTGCAGTCCAAGGGACTCTCAAGGGTCTTCTCCAACACCACAGTTCAAAAGCATCAATTCTTCAGTGCTCAGCTTTCTTCACATTCCAACTCTCACATCCATACATGACCACTGGAAAAACCATAGCCTTGACCAGATGGACCTTTGTTGGCAAAGTAATGTCTCTGCTTTTTAATATGCTATCTAGGTTGGTCATAAATTTCCTTCCAAGGAGTAAGCGTCTTTTAATTTCATGGCTGTAATCACCATCTGCAGTGATTTTGGAGCCCAAAAAATAAAAGTCTGACACTGTTTCCACTGTCTCCCCATCTATTTCCCATGAAGTGATGGGACCAGATGCCATGATCTTAGTTTTCTGAATGTTGAGCTTTAAGCCAACTTTTTTACTCTCCTCTTTCAATTTCATCAAGAGGCTCTTTAGTTCTTCTTTGCTTTCTGCCATAAGGGTGGTGTCATCTGCATATCTGAGGTATTGATATTTCTCCCAGCAATCTTGATTCCAGCTTGTGCTTCTTCCAGCCCAGCGTTTCTCATGATGTTGCCTGAAGGAAGTCAAGCCACTGGTCATGTTTAATGGGGAACGGGGGATGGCTCTGGAGTCAATGCAGGGGAATCGGGCCTCATCTCGAGTTGATTTGGGGCACATGGAGCTGCTTTGCGTTGCTGGGGTGACCTCAGGGTCTGTCTAGACTTGTTAAATAAGCAGGGTGACAACATACAGCCTTGATGTACTCCTTTTCCTATTTGGAACCAGTCTGTTGTTCCATGTCCTGTTCTAACTGTTGCTTCCTGACCTGCATACAGATTTCTCAAGAGGCAGGTCAGGTGGTCTGGTATTCCCATTTCTTTCAGAATTTTCCACATTTTGTTGTGATCCACACAGTCAAAGGCTTTGGCATAGTCAGTAAAGCAGAAATAGATGTTTTTCTGGAACTCTCTTGCTTTTTTGATGATCCAGAGGATGTTGGCAATTTGATCTTTGGTTCCTCCGCCTTTTCTAACACCTGCCTGAACATCTGGAAGTTCACGGTTCACGTATTGCTGAAGCCTGACTTGGAGAATTTTGAGCAGTACTTTACTAGTGTGTGAGATGAGTGCCATTGTGTGGTAGTTTGAGCATTCTTTGGGATTGCCTTTCTTAGGGACTGGAATGAAAACTGACCTTTTCCAGTCCTGTGGCCACTGCTGAGTTTTCCAAATTTGCTGGCAGACTGAGTGCAGCACTTTCACAGCATCATCTTTCAGGATTTGAAATAGCTCAACTGGAATTCCATCACCTCCACTAGCTTTGTTTGTAGTGATGCTTTCTAAGGCCCACCTTACTTCACATTCCAGGATGTCTGGTTCTAGGTGAGTGATCACACACCTAATCACACACATCGTGATTATCTGGGTCGTAAAGATCTTTTTTGTACAGTTCTGTGTATTCTTGCCACCTCTTCTTAATATCTTCTGCTTCTGTTAGGTCCATACCATTTCCGTCCTTTATCGAACCCATCTTTGCCTGAAATGTTCCCTTGGTATCTCTAATTTTCTTAAAGAGATCTCTAGTCTTTCCCATTCTGTTGTTTTCTTCTATTTCTTTGCATTGATCGCTGAGGAAGGCTTTCCTATCTTTCCTTGCTATTCTTTGGAGCTCTGCATTCAAATGGGAATATCTTTCCTTTTCTCCTTTGCTTTTAGCTTCTCTTCTTTTCACACAGTAAGTAGCTATTCTTATCTCAATTAATCTATACAGCAACCCTACCCGGCAGGCTTTGTTATTACTTCCATTCACAAATAAGTTCCCAGGCTCAGAAGAGTGAGGTCACGCAGCCTCGGGAGTCAAATTCGAGGCGCCTGGCCCCAGGGCTCTTGCATATTCAGGCATTTATTACCGGGCTATGGTAGTTCGGAGCTGAAACCGGCGAAGTCAGAGCCCAGAAGGCAGCGCCCCCTCCCGGTGTGAAAAGAACTTTAAGTCACTGCTCTCCCCTAACCACCTTCCCCGCCCCCTTACACACAAGGGCCTGGAGAACAGGTAAGCAAGCCTTTCCTGTTCCTTCAACTCTACCCCCACTTTTGCAGATAGTCCCTTTATTAAACTCACAGCGAGAATGAGCATGTAGTTTGTGGGCTGCTGAGACGGACTGATGAAAGGGCCATGCGAAGAAACACCCTGAGCCCCGCCCCTATGACAAAGGCTCAGCAAAGGCAGCTGGTTCTAAAGCCCGGACAGTTCCTGTGGTCTTGAACAAACCCGCCTGTTGCCTGAGCAAGTTTTTGTATATTGTAAACAAGAAAGCCTGATTTCCTTAGAGCTGTCACACACCCGTTTCCATTGATGCTGCACATTTCCTAGAATGACTGAGGTCACTGATCCGCTGCTCAGACTCCATGGGGATCCCCTCCACCTGAGACCACAGAAGGAAGCAGACAGCAGGTCAGAGGGCAGGGCCTAAACCGCCTCAACCCCCTCCTTCCCTCTTTCGAAACCAGCCTCCCTGCAAGAGCAATGGTGTGGTGTGCTGGAGACCCTTACAAAAACCAACTGTTAATATTTCAGGCACTTTGCAAGCCAGTTGTTAAACACAGCCATTATGGAAAATTTAGTTGTCTTAACTTACGATTAAATGAATTACACTAAAGAAGGCAAAGACGTAGATGAAACAAGTTTAGCAATATATTGATAATCGTTGAAGACAGATGATGGATAATGGTGGTTTCTTACACTTTCTTCCTTCTACTTTTCTGTGTTTGAAATTGTTCAGGATAAAAAGTTTGAAACAAGACAAAAGTAACTGTGATGTTTACAATAAAAACACCCACACATATATACTTGGACTTCTTCCCCATTTCTGTCACAGAGCTCCTAAAACCCTTGAAATTGCCTAAGTGATAAAATGATAAAGATATCTTGATATTCATAACAAACCTCTTTCAACCATACCTGAGTTTATATCAGTGAAGTGAATTTTGGAAAGCACCTAAGCCAGGGGAAGCAACCAAGTCACTGGAGGGTTGGAACTTTCAGTCTCAACTCCCTGACTTGGCTAATGAATTAATCAACTCTGTCAGTGTAATGAAAATCTCCATAAAACCAAGTGGATGTGGTTCAGAGTCTAGGGTTGGTGAAGACCAGGAGAAGTGGGCAGAGTGGTGAGCTCAGAGAGAGTATGGGAGCTCCACGCCCTTTCCCCAGGCAGACGCACAGGGACAGCTGACTTACAGTCGCCACTGGAAGGGGAGGGCAGTCTTGTAGGGCTGAGCTCTTAACATGTGGACACCCGTGTTATCTTTGTGCTGATGGTGTCAGAATTGAGTTAAACTGTGGGACACTTACCTGGTGTTTGTGATTTGCTTGGAAGAAAAAAAATGCACATTGTAATTAGAGTCAGAGTCTTAAAACTCATCACTTCCTATTTAATATAATATAGTTTACTATTTTAAATGCTCTTCAGGTTATTTATACCCATTGTGTCTATGTGGTGTAAATGTTATATATAACTGTAAATGCAACTACAGGTATAAGAGTTTCAGTTCCTCAGACATCCTCTCCAGTCCTTGTATTGTCAGCATGGTATGTTTATTTGTTTGCTACCCTAATAACTGTGGTTGTAATTGTGGTTGTAACTTTTGGTTCCCTAATGACTAAGGATGTTGAACATCTTCTCATGTGCTTATTTGCCAAGAGTGATATTTTCAAAACTTAAGTCAAATCATATCAATCCCCTGCTTAGAACCCAATGGTTTCCCAAGGCACGAGAATAAAACCATCACTCTGACCTACAAGGCAGAGGCCACATTCAGTCAACTCTGTTTTCTGTCTCTCTTCCTTTTGCTTTCTCCACTCCAGTCACACTGGCCTCCTTTCCCACCTCAGGAGAACTTGTTTCCTCTGCCTAAAATGCTGTTGGCTCTGATTTTCATCTGATGGGGATGTGGGAGCTGCTTCTCATTTTTCAGGGGTAAGCTCAGTGTCACCACTTCTGAGAGGCCTTCCATGACTACCCTGACCTAAGTAGACAAACCACAGTCACACTCCTCTAGTGTATTGCTTTGTTTTATTTTTGTCATAGAAGTTGGCTCTATTTGGCAACATTTTTGTTTTTTTGTGGTTTTTTGGCTGTGCTCAGTCTTTGTTGCTGCATGCAGGCTTTCTCTAGTTGCAGCAAGCGGGGGCTACTCTTCATTGCAGTGTGCAGGCTTCTCATTGCAGTGGCTTCTCTTGTGGCAAAGTGAAGGCTCTAGGGCATGTCGGCTCAGTAGTTGTGGCACATAGGCACTTGTCCCAAGGCATGTGGGATCTTCCTGGACTAGGGATCGAACCAGTGTCCCTTGAATTGCAAGGCAGATTCTTAACCACTGGACAACCAGGGAAGACCCAGCATCATCTCATTAATTTATACATGTGTATACTGCCTGTTCGGAGAAGGCAATGGCACCCACTCCAGTACTCTTGCCTGGAAAATCCCATGGATGGAGGAGCCTGGTAGGCTGCAGTCCATGGGG